AATGGAGCCGGATCCGCGACCTCGGGGCTGCCCCTCCGGCCCATTGTCTGCCAGAGCCGGGGAAACAAGGAAAGGTCCCATGGGATCATTCCCGAGGCCGGGGTGTCCCCGGCCCCTCTGGAATTCCGGGGTGACCTCGGCCCCGAAGCGGCCGCCCCCAGGTCCCCCTCTCCGGCCGCCGCCTGTTAATTGTTGATTGTTCATTAATTAAATCATCCCAGCTTCACAAAGCCCCTGGAAAATCCTCGGGATCCCGTCTGACTCCAGCCCGATCCTCGCATTTCTGGGATGGAGCCGGAGAAAATCTTCTTTTCCAGGAAATCTGAATCATTCCCAAATCTCCTTTTTTTCTCTGTATGTGTGTGTGTTTTGATTTCTTTTTGTTGTTCTGTTGCGTTTTCACCTCCGCCCGCGGGGTGGGGGGAAAAGGATCCCAAAGGAAAAAAAATCATCCCAGGCCGGGCTCCTCCCGGGAACTCCCGGCGGCTCCAGGGCGGCTCCGCCAGGAACCGGCTCGGGATCCGGCCGGGGCTGTCCCGGAGCCGGGAGCACCGGGAACGCCCGGCCAGGGACCCCCGGGCACCGGGCAGGGCCGGGGGACAGCGGCGACAGCGGGGGACAGAGAGGGACACGGGGGACAGAGGGGGACAGAGAGGGACACGGGGGACACGGGGGACAGAGGGACACGGGGGACAGAGGGGGACACGGGGGACAGAGGGGGACACGGGGGACACCCCGCCCCAGGGACCCCCGGGACGGCCCCGCCGCGCCCGGACACGGGCGAGGGGATGGGGACAGCGGGGACAGAGCGGGGGACACCGGGGACACCCCGCAGGTGAGGGGGACACGGGGGACACCCCGCAGGTAAGGGGGGGACACACTGGGGACACCGGGGGGGACACACTGGGGACACCGGGGCACACCCCGAGGGTGATGGGGACACCGGGGACACCGGGGGACATCCCGCAGGTGCCGGGGACACCCCGAGGGTGACGGGGACACCCCGGGGACGCCCCGCAGGTGCCCCGGGATGGGCACAAAGCGCTCCGAGGCCGCCGCCGGGGGGTTTTAGGGGGTCCCGGGGGTCGCACCGCGCCCCGAGGAGGCTCCAGCGGAGCCCCGCAGCCCCTCCGGGTCCCCGCGGGGGTCCCCGGGGAGGTCCTGGGAGGAGTCCCGGGGGGCTCCCGGGGGTCCCACCGCCCCCTCCCCATTCGGGACCCCCGGCCCAGCCCCGGGCTCGGGGCTCCCGCAGCCGCCGCCAGCCCAGGCAAAGCCGCGGCCGGCGGGGCCCTTCCCGCGGGGAGCGCGCCCGGCGCGGCCCCGGCGCGGCCCCGCTCCCCCGCCAGCCCCGGGGCCGGTTCGGCATCCCGGGATCCCCCCGGCAGCGGCCCCAGCCCCCCGGTGCCCCCCACTCACCATCGCCGCCGCACCTTTGTGCGCGTCCCCCCCGCACCGAACCCCGGCGGCGGCGGCGGCGGCGGCGGCGGCGGAGGAGGAGGAGAGGAGGAGGAGGAGGAGGAGGAGGAAGAGGAGGAGGAGGCGGAGGAAAGCCCGGTCCCCCGGAGCCCCCCCGAGCCCGGCCCCGGCCCCCCCCGCCCCCGCTCCCGCCCATTGTCTGCGCTGCGCGCCCCCGGCGCCGCCGCGGGGCCATTGTTTGGGGCGGGGGGACACCCGGGGACCCCCGAACTCCCGGGGACCCCCCCGACAGCCAGAGACCCCCCCCAGCCGGTGGGATTTGGGGTGAGGATGCGCTTTTTTGGGGGAGGGGGCGTTTTTTGAGGAGAGCCCCCCCCCCATTTTTGGGAGGACGGAGCGGTTTTTTGGGAAGAATCCCCCGGGTTTTTTTTGGGGGGGGCAGTGAGGGTTGAGCCCCCACCTGGTGTCCCCTCCCGCGTGGGTTCCCAAGAGGTCTCAGCACCCCAAAATCGCCCCCCCAAAGGGTTCTCAGCCCCCCAAAACTGCCCCCAAGGGGTCTCAGCCCACGGGGGCGGGGCACAGCCCAGCTGCTCCCACCTTGTTTTGGGGTTTGGGGAAGGATTCTGGACCCCATAAACCCCCCCCCGAAAAAATATGGGGTGCGGGTCCTGCATCCGGCCGGGTTTGGGGTGTCCTGGGGGTGGGGGGTGGTCCGGCCGTGCCCCCCGGGTTTGGGGTCACCCCCGACCCTCAGCCCCAGCGGTTCGGGGGTGCGTGGGGGCGGCTGGAAGACCCCAGCCCCATCCCTGCGGAAATGGGGGGACCCCCGGCCTCCAGGAGAGCCAGGGCGGTGGCAGGGATTTTTTTGGGGGTGCTTAGGGCCAGCAGCACCCCTCGAGCCAGCAGGGGTCTCTGGGGACACACGGGGGGCTCCAGACCTTCATCTCCCCACAGGGAGGGACCCCAAATCCCCCCGAGCCCCCCAAGGCCGCCCCACGGCGTGCGCCGCGCGGGGGGGGGCGCGGCCGCTGCCCGGAACAGCCGAGCGCTCAATGGGCGAGGGTGGGAACGCGCGGGCCACGCCCCCGGCGGCGCTGACCAATGGCGTGAGGCGGGGGCAGAGAGCCGCGCTGCCATTGGTGGGATTGAAATGCCTGGTGGGGGTCAATGGGGAGGAGGGGCCGGGAGGGGAAAGGGGCGGGGGGAGGCGGGGGCGGGGCCTTGGGGGGATTTTGGGGGGATTTTGGGGGGATTTGGGGGTTTTGGGGGGTGACCCCATTGCTGTGGGGTCTGTGCCGGGGGTCCCTGTGACCCCATTGCTGTGGGGTGTGTGCCGGGGGTCCCCGGTGACCCCATTGCTGTGGGGTCCTTGGTGACCCCATTGCTGTGGGGTCTGTGCCGGGGGTCCCTGTGACCCCATTGCTGTGGGGTCTGTGCCGGGGGTCCCTGGTGACCCCATTGCTGTGGGGTCCCTGGTGACCCCATTGCTGTGGGGTTTGTGCCGGGGGTCCCTGTGACCCCATTGCTGTGGGGTCTGTGCCGGGGGTCCCTGGTGACCCCATTGCTGTGGGGTCCCTGGTGACCCCATTGCTGTGGGGTTTGTGCCGGGGGTCCCTGTGACCCCATTGCTGTGGGGTCTGTGCCGGGGGTCCCTGGGCCGCCCGCGCAGCTGCCCCGGGACTCTCCCGCCCCGCTCCGGGGATGATTTATGGGGCCGGGGTCGTTCCCGGGATGATTTATGGGGTCGGGGTCGCTCCCGGCAGATGGGGCTGCGGCAGCTGGGGAGGGGCGCTGCCCCCCCCGGGCCTTTATGGGGCCGCCCCTCCCCTCCGAGGGCTGCGGGAGGGGGACAATGAGCCCTGAAGGGTTTGGGGACAATGAGCCCTGAAGGGTTTGGGGACAATGAGCCCTGAAGGGTTTGGGGACAATGAGCCCTGAAGGGTTTGGGGACAATGAGCCCTGAAGGGTTTGGGGACACGGCCCTAAAGGGTTTGGGGCTCCCAGGGTGACAGGGGGGGACAGGGGGCGATGTCCCCAAACTGGGAGGGGGCGGCAGGGCTGGGGGGGCCCGGCAGGGGGCGCTGCTGCCCCGGCAGCGATTGGGGACGGGGGGACAAACCCGGGGGACATTGGGGGGACATTGGGGACACCCCCCTGGGGATATTGGGGACATCCCTGGGGGGACATTGGGGACACCCCCCTGGGGACATTGGGGACACCCCTGGGGGGACATTGGGGACACCCCCCTGGGGGGACATTGGGGACACCCCTGGAGCAATTCCCGGATTTTTCTCCCAGTCCCAGGTGGATTCCCCCAAGGAATGGGATGTTCCCGAGGGATAGAGAGGCGGGAGAGGACGGGAAGGGCTGGAAAGAGGGAAAATGGGAATGGGGGGAAATGGGAATGGGGGAAAAATGGGAAAAGGGGGAAATGGGAATAGGGAAAATCGGGAAGGGGTCAAAATGGGAAATAGGGGAAAATGGGAAATAGGGGAAAAATGGGAATGGGAGGAAAAATGGAGAATAGGGGAAAAACCTGGGAATTGTGGCGGGACAGGCCTGGAGAGGCCCAGGCCGAGGGGCGGAATTCCCAATCCCAATCTGCCGGGCCGGAATGTCAATGAGCCCGGAGCTCCCATTGTCAGGGACAATGGGGCCAGATGGGGCCGGGCCCCAAAGGGGTCTGGGGTCTGCCGGGGTGGGAACGCCACCCTAAGGGGGTTTGGGAATGGGGACAGGGCCCTGAAGGGATTGGGAATGGGGAAAGTGACCCTAAAGGGATTGGGAATGGGGACAGGGCCCTAAAGGGGTTTGGGAACGGGGACAGGCCTTTTCCTTTTCCCCCCAAAATTGCACAAGGACACAGTGGATAAGTTCATCATAGTAATCATAATAAATAGTGATAATAATAATTAATGATAATAATAAATAATAAATAATCATAATTCTCAATAAATAAATTAATTCCATAAATATCCTCATGGCACAGAGACGGGGGGGAAGGGGAGGGAAGGGTCTGGGGGAAAAGGAGGAGCCGGCCCCGGGAATTCCCGCTCCAGTTCTCTGGGAATTCTGGTCCCAGCTCCTCTGGGAATTGCAGCTCCAACCTGTCGGGATTTGCTGTCCCAGCGCTCTGGGATTGGCAGCTCCGTTCCTCTGGGAATTTTGGCTCCGTTCCTCTGGGAATTTTGGCTCCGTTCCTCTGGGAATTGCTGCTCCAGTTCCTCAGGAATTGCTGCTCCAGTTCCTCAGGAATTGCTGCTCAAAGCCCTGGGAATTGCGGCTCCACTCTCATTTTGGGATTTGCTGCTCCATCATTTTGGGATTTGCCATCCCAGCCCGCCCGGATTGGCTCTTCTGTCCCTCTGGAATTGCTGCTCCAAAGCCCTGGGAGCAGGGCCAGGGGGGCAGGGGGGGCACACGGACACAGGATGGACACAGGATGGACACAGGATGGACACAGGATGAACACAGGGATGGACAGATGGATACAGGGATGGACACAGGGACACAGGGATGGACAGATGGATACAGGGATGGACACAGGGATGGACACAGGGATGGACAGAGGGACACAGGGATGGACAGATGGACACACGGACATGGGGATGGACAGATGGACACAGGACGGACACAGGGACGGACAGACGGACCCTCACACGTCCAGCACGTGGTTCAGGTAGGAGATGTAGCAGATGGCCAGGCGCAGGATCTCGATCTTGGAGAGTTTCTTGTCGGGGGGCAGCGTGGGCAGCAGGCGCCGCAGCTCCGCGAAGGCCACGTTGAAGGCCTCCACGCGGATGCGCTCGCGCGTGGCGTGTGCCGTGCGGTACTTGGCCGTGGCGCGCCGCCGCCGCCGCCGCTCCTCCCGGCTCAGCGGCTCCTTCCCGGCCGGGCCCACGGCCCCAGAACCCGGCCCCATTGCCCCAGAACCCGGCCCCGCTGCCCCCGAGCCCGGCCCCGCTGCCCCCGAGCCCGGCCCCGCTGCCCCGGTGCCCGGCCCCGCTGCGGGCTGGGGCTCGGGGCGCGCCGGGGGCACCGCCGGGACAGCCGGCTCCGAGTTCAGCATCATCGGCACGGGCACAGGGGATGGAGCCACAGGGACCCCGGGGTCTGGGGACGGAGACAAAGGGACCCCAGGGACAGCTCTGAATTGGTCCTGGGGTTTGGGGACAGAGCCAGAGGGACCCCGGGGTTTGGGGACAGCTCTGAACTGACCCTGGGGTTTGGGGACAGAGCCAGAGGGACCCCAGGGTTTGGGGACAGAGCCAAAGGGACCCCGGGGACAGCTCAGAACTGATCTGGGGTTTGGGGACAGCTCGGAACTGGTCCTGGGGTTTGGGGACAGAGCCAAAGGGACCCCGGGGACAGCTCAGAACTGATCTGGGGAGTTTGGGAACGATTCCAAACTGATCCCGTGGATTTGGGGACACCTCCAAGTGTTTTGGGGTCACCCCCAGGCCGGTCCCGGTGTTTTGGGGTCACCCCCAGGCTGGTCCCGGTGTTTTGGGGTCACCTCGGCAGGAGAAGTCCCCGGATTTGGGGCGCCCCTGCCCAGCTCCAGCAAGGCCCGTGGGGATCCTCCTCCTCCTCCTGCTCATCACATTCCAGCCGGGAATTGGGGCATTTTCCTTGGGAATTCTGCGTTCCCGGAGAAAACTTCCCCAGGGGACGGGGCCGGGAGCGCAGCTGGAGGCATAAAAACCAGATCGAGACTTCCCCGAAATTTTCCCGTGGTTTTGGGGCTCTCGGGGTCAGGACGTGGCTCCGGAGCCCTCAGAGGTCAGATCCTGCCGGGTCTGGAAAAGAAGGATCAGGAATTTCAGCTCCGGGTGGGAAAGGAGCCGGCAGAGACATCAAGCAAAATAATAAAAATTATACTATAAAACGAAATAAAATAAAAATATAAAATAAAATATAAAATAAAACATAAAATAAAATAAAATAAAAATTAATAAAATAAAATAAAATACTAATAAAATAAAATAAAATATTAATAAAATAAAATAAAAAATAATATAAGTAAAGTAAAAATTAAAATAAAGTAAAACAAAGTAAGAGAAAATAAAAATAAAAATAATTAAAAAGGAAACCGAGTATTTCCCACAGCTTTTCCCTGTCAGACCCTGGTGACTCTGGCAAACGAGCTCAGGGCATTGCAGCTCCCGGTGGAGCAGGACCCACCGGGGAGCTCGGGAGGACGGGGAAATTTGGGGCGCGGGGGGATTTGGGGCCGCCGGGGCTCTCCGGAGGTGGCAGGTGGCGGATGCGCGGCGGGGGCGGGGCGGGCTTTGTGTCGCAAATGAGCCCCGTCTGTCCCCGCGGCTGTCCCCGCGGCGGGCCCGGCTGCCTGTCCCCTCTGTCCCCTCTGGCCCTGCTGCCTGTCCCCTCTGTCCCTTCTGGCTGTCCCCTCTGGCCCCTCTGGCCCTGCTGGCTGTCCCCTCTGTCCCCCCCTCTTGTGCCTCTGTCCCCTCTGTCCCCGTCCCTCTGTCCCCTCTGGCTGTCCCACCTCTCTGTCCCCTCTTGTCCCTGTCCCGCTGTCCCCTCTCTGTCCCCTCTCTGTCCCTCTGTCCCCTCTCTGTCCCCCTGTCCCCTCTCTGTCCCTCTGTCCCCCTGTCCCCTCTCTGTCCCCTCCCTGTCCCCCTGTCCCTCTGTCCCCCTGTCCCCTCTCTGTCCCCTCCCTGTCCCCCTGTCCCTCTGTCCCCCTGTCCCCTCTCTGTCCCCTCCCTGTCCCTCTGTCCCCTCCCTGTCCCCTCCCTGTCCCTCTGTCCCCTCCCTGTCCCCCTGTCCGTCTGTCCCCTCTCTGTCCCCTCCCTGTCCCTCTGTCCCCTCCCTGTCCCCCTGTCCGTCTGTCCCCGCTGGCTCCGCTCCCGGCAGATGGAGCGGCCGCAGCTGCTCCCGGGAATCCGCCGGGAATTCCCGAGCGCCGGGAGCGCGCCCCGCCCCCCGCTCCTCATCCTCATCCTCATCCTCATCCTCATCCTCATCCTCATCCTCATCCTCCTCCTCCTCATCTTCATCCCCGCTGCCTTCCCTGGAAATCCGGGCGCGTCCAGGGAAAGAGGGAGAAACTTTGGAATGGGAAAAGCGGTTGGGAATGAGCCGGGAATGAGCCGGGAATGGGTTGGGAATGAGCTGGGAATGGGTTGGGAATGAGCTGGGAATGCTCCTCTCCTTTCCTTCCTCCTCCTCATCCTCATCCCCATCCCCGGCTGCCGCGCCTGGAAATCCGGGAATGCCACGGGGAAAAGGGGAGAAACTTTGGAATGGGAAAAGCGGCTGGGAATGGATCCCAAATCCCACCGGGATCCCAATCCCGATTTTGTTAAAGGCTGGAATGGTGGGAATTTACCCTCTCAATAAAAAAAAAAAAAAAAAAAAAAAAAAAAAAAAAAAAAAAAAAAAAAAAAATTCGGGAAGAGCTCCCAAAATCCCTGGGAATTTGGATGTTCGGGATTTTTTCTGGGCTCGGTTTCAGCCCGAGAAGGGAATTTGGGAATTTGGGAATCCAGCCCCTCGAGCTGCCCTCTGCATCTGGGATTCCCGGGAATTTGGGGTGGATCCCACACCTGGGCGGGAAGCAGGAGACTTTTTTTGGGAAAACTCAAGTTTCATTCCCGGATCCAAACAAACTCCCGGCCTGGGTTATCCCGGGGCTTTTCCTTGGCGTGGAATTCCTGCTCCCAGCGCCTCTTTTCGCTTCCTTTTGTTTTTTTGGGAAAACCTCCCAATTCCCAAACCCAGCCGCTCCAAGGATTCCTGGTCATTCTCCACTTCTCCCAGCAAAACCCCGGGAATTCTTCCCACCTCCTCCCCAGCCCTTTTCCTCCCATTCCCGACCCGTGGCGTGACGAAATTCCCGACAATTTTCCTTGGAAACCAAACGCGTCCAGGACCCCGATTCCAGGCGGGTTCTTTTCCTTTTCCCGGCTCCCCAACCCTCCCAGGAAAAACCTTTTTTCCAAAGGGATTTGGGAGCCAAACGTGGCAGTGGGATCGAGGCATTTCCCGGGAATCTGGGGCCGAATTCCCGCCCGCATCCCGGTTTTTGAGCCATTCCCGATCCCTGGAAAAGCCGCCTTACCCCGAGCCCCGCACCATTCCCAGGCTCCGGCCTTTCTCCTCCAGCTATTCCCAGGATTTGGAATCCGCTCCGCTCATCCATCCATGGAGGAAGGGAAAAACTTTCCCTGGATTCTCCTGAGGTCCCGCGACGGATCCGGGATGGGAATCCGGGATGAATCCCGGAATTCCCGGGGCGGCAGCGCCGCTTCGGAGCCTCCAAGGAGGAAATTCGCCACTCCCCCCAAAAATTCCCAATTTATCCACCCTGGGCCCGACCCCGGGAGCCTCATTGGCCTCTCCCGCTCCCCCTCCCTTTTCCCTCATAAATATGGAAAAGCGGGAATTCGGGATTCCATTGGCTGCGCGGGAGCCCCCGGGAGGGGCGCGCTGGATGCGGGCCGGGAAAAGGCGACAGCTGCTCCCGGTGCTCCTTTCCAGCGGGAATTCGGGCCGGGAAAGGGGGAAAAGAGCCCGGAGCGGCATTCCCGGTCCTGAAAAATGGGAAAAGGGAGCTCGGAGCAGAATTCCCAGTCCCGAAAATTGGGAAAAGGGAGCCCGGAGCGGAATTCCCGGTCCCGCAAATTGGGAAAAGGGAGCCCGGAGCGGAATTCCCGGTCCCGCAAATTGGGAAAAGGGAGCCCGGAGCGGAATTCCCGGTGGATGCCGAGGTCCGGAGCCCTCGGGTGATCCCTGAGGACGCTGCGGGTCCCTTTGGGGTCACCCAGAGCCTCCATCCCATAAATCCCGCCCGGGAAATTCACCTGTGGTGGAGCGGGAAAAGTGAAAGGGAAGAAACTCGGGAATAGGCTGGGAGAAACCCAGGAATATCCCGGGAACAGCCGGGAACGCGCTCCCGAGTCCGGCCGGGACACAGCGGCCGCTGGGCCGGCTCTGCCCTCGCCCTCCTGGGGCTGTCCCGGTTCAGCTCCGGGAAATCCTCGGGAAATCCGCTGCAGCTCCCGGGGGATCCCGGCGCTCCCATCCCGCATTTGGGATCCTCCCGGAGCTCCCGAGATCCCTTCGGGATCCTCCCGCGCGTCCCGGGACTTTGGGGTCCCCTGTCCTGTCCCTGTCCCCGCTCTGTCCCGGTTCTATCCCCGTTCTGTCCCGGTTCTGTCCCGGTTCTATCCCGGTTCTGACCCGCTCGCTGCCTGGCCCCGCTGGCGGTTCTGTCCCCGCTCTGTCCCGGTTCTGTCCCGGTTCTGACCCGGTTCTGCCCCGGTTCTGCCCGCTCGCTGCCCGGCCCCGCTGGCTCTGTCCCCGCCGCTGTCACCAGCTGAGCCCCGCGTGTCGCCGCCCGCGGCTCCGGGGCCGCTCCGGAGCAGCTGCGAGAGCGGCGGGCACCGAGCCCGGGCAGGAGGGGCGGGAAACGGGACAGGAACGGGACAGGGCCGGGAAACGGGGACAGGAACGGGACAGGGACGGGAGATGGGGAATGCGAGGGGACAGAGCCTGGAGCGGCTCCCGGCGCAGCCGCATCCCAAATCCCAAATCCCAAACCCTCATCCCCATCCCACACTCCCGAATCCCCTCCCCGCCACCCCCAAGGGATTTTTGGGATCGCTCCCAGTCCCTCCCCATCGCCAATCCCAAATCCACATCCATCACCCCGGATCCCAAATCCGCATCCATCATCCGGATCCCACATTCCCCTCCCCAATCCCAAATCCGCATCCATCACCCGGATCCCACGTTCCCATCCCCAATCCCAAATCCACATCCATCACCCGGATCCCACACTCCCCTCCCCAGTCCCCTCCCCGCCGCCCCGGGGGGATGTTTTGGGCTCGTTCCCGGCGCGGCCGCAGCTGAGGCCGCGGCTCCGGGCGCGATTCCAGCCGGGAACGCGGCGGGAGCAGCAGCGGAGCCCCCCCCGCCCGCCAGCGCTTCCCGCCGGGAATTCGGGGCGCCTTTCCCATCCCGGGGGCTCCGGAACGGGATCCGGGCTGACCCCGACACGGGGCCCCGATCCCAGAGCTGGGATCCCTTTCCCGGCAAATTCCCGAAATTCCCTTCGGGATGGCCCCGGCTCAGCTTTTCCTCCTCTGGAATTGCCGGGAATGGGGGATTCCATCCAGGGATGCGCTCGGACCCCAAAGATCCCAAAAATCCCACGGGAAGGTTCTGCTGGGATTTCGCTCATTCCCTGTCCCGGGAATTCCTGGGATTTTGCTCATTCCTGGTCCCACGACTCATTCCCAGTCGTGGTTCCAGGCCCATGATTCCAAATTTCCGGCTCATTACCCCGAATTCCCGGTTCATTATCCCAAATTCCAGCTCCTCTCCAGCCCTTTGTGTCACTCCCATCCGTTTTCCCAAAGCTTTTCCATGAATTATTTGGGATCCAAATCCCGTGCCTTTTATCCACCCAATCCCAACCCATTTCCCCAAATCCCAGAATCCCAGATTTCCTCCATTCCCAGCGTTTCCCCCCGCCTTGTTTGTTTTTGTTTTTTTTTTTTGTTTTTTTTTTTTTTTGTGGCTCCAACGAGGGAAAAAAACCTGGAAATAAAAAAGGTTCTTTGGGAATCCCATGGATTTATTTATAATATTTACAAATCTCAGGGAAAAAAGGGACTTTTCCTATCAGGACATTCCCAGACCCTCTGGAATTCTTCACAATTCCAAAAGAAAAAAAAAAAAAAACAACAAACCACAAAACCCCTTTATCCTTCCTTTATCTGGATTTTGGGAAAAGCTCCACCCTGGAAAATAGGATGGGTCCAACCAGGAATTCCGAGAAAATTTTGGGAATTTGCCACTCAGGCAACCTGGAATTCTGGGAATTTTTCACTCAGGGCATTAAACCAACCTGGAATTTTGGGAATTTCCCACCCAGGG